CCCCAAAACCCCAAAACCCCATAAAGCAATAATCAAAAATGTAATAAAAAAATAATATTTATCTATCACTGCTATTCCTTTTTCTTCTTAAAAATCTCACTTTTTGTAATCTCTACAATCAAAGCCTTTTTCTCTTTATATCTCTTAAGCAGTTCGTCAATCACAAAATTAGCCATAGTTCCGCTGATCTTAACATGGCACTATGGACATCTATCCTTATATTCCTATCTCTAATCAACACAATCAAAGCAGAATGAGTGGCCACAAGCGATTGTAATAACAGAATTATTCATTACATCTGAGCAAATGGAACAACTAAAAGCATTATCCATGGAATTCCAGATTTCTTAAACTATCTCAAATAATCTATCAATTGCCTCATCCTTTTCCTTATAATGTGAAAGTTTTTACTCAATATCCTCAAAATCATAATTCTTTTAGAAATTTGAAAGTTCTTCCCTCAGAGTTTCATTTTCTTTGTATAATTTGTCCATTTCCTTCAATTTAGAGCCCATTCCATCTTCTTGTCTCTTGAAATCTCTTTCAACATAACTTAGATTAAGCTTAGTTTCAGCCAACTCTTATTCTATCTTAAATATATGAGCAGATTTTTCAGCTAGGGTACTATCCCTTTGCCCGATATCATCGTTTAATTCTTCTATTTTTAAGTCCTTAGCCCCTATCATTCCCTTTACTCTTAACAATTCCTCATCTTTTTAGTCTAAAAGGAACTGAACTTTAGCTTTTTCTCTATCCTCAATAGATTTCTACTCCTTTTTAAACTTATCAACTTACTCCTAAAGATCCTTAGAAATGGACTTAAGATCAATGAGTTCAATTTCTATATCATTTTTATCCTTCCTATATTTCTACATAAGGTCATTACTTTCAGCTGCTTCCTTTTATTTTGTCTCAGCTTATAGTTTGTAGGCCTCGATTTGATTTTCACTCTATCTGATCTGAACAAATAATGTATTCACTCTGTCCTTAACCTCCTCTAGCTCAGCCTTCTTATCATTCAGCTCGAATTCAAGATCTGTCCTAACAGTGTCCAGCTATTACCTTAAATCTTAAACCTCTCTCTGATTAAAGATCTTAGTTTCAGTGAGTTCCTTGTTTAGGGCATAATTTTCCTCATTGACATCATTTAGCTAATTCTTGAGATGATCCATTTCTTCTTTCAGCTCTTAGACTGTGTCTGCATTTTAAGCCATATATATATCCTACTTCTCTTTGAATTCCTCCAAGTCAGCAATAAGCTTACCATTGCTCATCTTAAGGACTAAAATTTCTTCTCCTAGTATCTCTTCTTTTCGCTTCCACTCAGCCATTTTAGCACTAAAATCATCTTAGAGCTTTCTGTATCTTTCCCCAAGGTCTTTCTCTTATTTCAATTGCTGCTCCACCTACTTAGTTAACTGGAGGTTATTGTATTCAAGTTCCTATATTTTGTCATAAGCAATTTTTAATTCTCTTTCCTTAGCATCAAGTTCATATTGCTTTTAGTCGTAGAGCTCATTTGTATTTCTTAATTCCTCATCTAAAGAATTGATTTTATTATTCATGAGGAACATTTCATTCTCATTCTCAAAGAGATGCTCTTTTTGTTCGTCAGCTAGAGCCTACAGTTTCATAATTTGCATAAGCTAGTTAGTAATCTTATCCTCCATGACTGAATATTCCTTAAGGTTGTCTCTATATTTATCATCTATCTCCCCTATCTCCTTTTTAAGTTGCTGATTCTCTGCCTTCATTAATTTCATTTGAAAATCTGCTTCGTTTAGTTCTTTGATCTTTCTATCAAGTTATCTGTTCAGACTCTCCATCTACATTTTCATGAAAGAGTTTTCTTCTGCAATTTTCTTGAACTTCTGTTCTGCTTCCTTAAATCTCAAAGTCTCAGCTTCCATAAAGGATTTTAGCTTCTCTAATTCCTGCAATTTACTTTGCATGAATTGATTTTCATTCTTAAGCTTATCATTATTCTTTTTGTAAAACCTATTTTCCTCTTTCTGGTTGTGACAAAGAGTTTAAAGAATAGAAAAGTTTTTCTAGAGAGCATCCAATAGTTAATTCCTGTGTGTGAGAATTTATCTTTGGTCTTATATTCTTTTTTGCATTTCAGCTACAAGTCTCTATAACGTCATAAAACAATCATAAATATACTTTATCATTGTCTGTTAGTCTAATAACCTGATTACTAAAATCAATAACATCATCTGAAGAAGTAACCATTTGTTCTAAAGTTACAGTTTTATGTTATTAAAGATTACATTCAGATTCGAAAGTATTATGCTTATCCTGCTAAGTTGGAATATAAGATATCTATGAATGTCTTCCTTCGTTCACAACGGAAGCTTCTTAAGCCTCTTTGAATACAGCTTTGTTTACAATTCTTGGGAAGCCCCCACTGTTAACCGACACTGATAACTCCTCACTCATTTAATTTATAAATTAATAAATCCAATTCCTTGAAGTTATCATTCTTTGCGGGGTTTTGGGGTTTTGGGGTTTTGGGG